AGCCAGCCCGCCAGTCGGCCATAATTTGGGCGTTTGTCTGTTATATTTGTGCCGCCGAAACTAAAATATAATGAATACGACAAAATAATTTGCAACATGCACGCCCTCGCCCGCACTCGCCGCGCGCGTTTTGACAGTCCCGCGCACCACACAAGCGCACGCGCTGATCGGCCGCATAACGGAATTTGCATACCAATACATAAGTATTTACATTCGTTGTTTGTTTTCATATTTACTATCATTTCCACGGCACACGCTCTTTTGACTGTAAACATGCATACATACATATATATATATATTGTAAATACTAATGTTTTTTGCCGGGACCAGACAGTAGCGTCTCTCTAACAATTTTCATTTCGCTTTCGAGCTCATTGACTAGCGAAAGTGTTGCATGTGCACACATACATACATACATTCATACTCCAATTAACAAGTCGCATGGCACAGCTAAGTATCTCTAAATGCTTGTGCCTTCGTTATTTTGTTGGTATGGTCAAGATCTGACATTCGCCGTCCATGTCCAGTGCTCCTCGCTTTGGTTATTTATAGAGTCACGGGCATTGTAAGAAGTCAATGTCGCACAGTTCACAAATGTTTTCATAACTTATTTATAAATAAATATACCGATTTGTAACGCTCGAATTGTGACAGTTTTGACGCAATTATATTGATGCACACATTCCAATTTTTCTTCACAATTTCTGCTGAACACAAGCTAATCCATACCATACCAATCCATTTACCTTAATTTAAATTAAGTATTCAAAAACTCTTAAATGCTAAATTCAAACTATATGTTTGTCGTTATGAAGTGTGGTCGGAAAATCAATATACGTCTGGCCAACTTATTGGTCCACCACCACAAATTATCGATAGTAAAATCAGCAGTGCTGTAAAACGTTTAGACAAATTAATATAATATAATCAACAGTTAGGCGCCAATTATTTCCATTTCTATCCGCTTTTTAAGATTTATTCTTTGTTTGTCAGCCCTGTATAACACAAGTTATTCGACATTCTGCGAACATCAACAACAACCTTTATAATAATTTCATAGTTTTTAGCCGGCTTGAAACGATTATCTCTCTATAAATACCATGGCAAAAAATGGCAACTATATTCTTATTAGATTGAGCAGAGTTGGAAAATTCGCCTGTGTCGGCAAAGCAGGTTGTGTAAAGTGCTTTTGTTATACGGAAGGGTTCTGCTGGGTGTTCGTGCCTTGAGCAAAAACGCAACCCTGGCATATATACTCTCCCGGCTTAAATGTCAACGCGTATTACGGTTTATTATGTAGCAAAATAATGGTTAAATTAAACAGACACTAATCGAAATAAGCTCCAGCATCATTTACTTAAACCAACAGCACAGGGTAAGTTGAATTTCTGAGGTGATACACGTATGCATACATATTTTGCGTTTGTGTCGTGCTTCATAGCATGAACAGCTGCTCCGCGCACCAGAGTTGTCATCCAGCGATACGGAAAATAAAGGGCTTAAATGAGCTGCAGTGCAACTCTGGTAGTGATGGTGCTCTTCTTTGTGTTATTATTGTAGACAAAGCCAAAATAAAATTGAGATTTGCCAAATAAATACATATTGGTACACTGAACGTGGAGTGAAAAGCGGATTTGCGTCGCAGTAAATAGCGTGTGAAACGTCGTAAATTGTATTTGGCTAAAAACCTAATGCGCGCTGTTGATTGGCGTCGCTCCAAATTAACCAAATTTATTGCTGAGCCACAGACGGAGTTCGACATAATGGACGACGAGGCATGCTTGACCGTTGAGAAAGAGCTCGACCGCGTTGTGAGCAAGTTGGAGCAACTGCACGAGATCGCTTCGGTCGAAATTGGAGACGTTGCGTCCCTTATGTCAGAGCTGGTCAACGTTTTGGGCAATGCGGAGCAGATGCTGGTTACCACGCTCAATGCTGGTACGCAAGTGAATGCGCCAGGCACGAGCAGCACAGACGATCCCATGGGCGATGGTGTGAACATGCAGGTGGAGACAGAGCCAGCAGCTCCACAACGTCTCACCGATAGCCAAATGGAAATAATCAGAGAAGCGATCTTAAAGTGCAATGATCGCGTGCAGAAGCTGTCGACGGAACATCGTGACTCGCATGGTTCCGTTTCGAAGATTGGGAAGGCCATCGATCGCAACTTTAGCTCGGACTTCAGCTCGACAATGCGCGTGGACGCGCTGCAGGACGAGGACAATCTAATGCTGCTAAACAAGGCCATCGCCAAACATTACTGCCGTCAGGGCATGGACGAGGTTGCCCGCACGCTAATCAAGGAATGTAAAATGAGCGAGAACGATGCCCAAGATGTGTTCGATTCGGAGCGCGAGTTCGCCGAAATCTACAGCATCTGGATACAGATACAGAAGCGCGAGCTGTCTGAAGCCCTCAAGTGGGCCATACGGCACTCGAGCCAGCTGATGGAGCGGCATTCGCTCATCGAGTTTCGGCTGCATCGTATGCGATTCATGCAGCTGGTTTCGTATGGCCTGGAGTCACAGCACGAAGCCATCGTGTACGCCAGGACCAACTTTCAAAAGTTTGCCGTGCGTTACGAGCATGAGATTGCCAACTTGATGGCCAGCTTTATATATCTGCCCGGTGGCCTTGAGAAAACGCCGTACAAGATCTTTCTAGCCCAGGAAATGTGGACCGAGCTATCGTTCACATTCCTCAAGGACGCTTGCCAGCTGTTGGGCATCAGCAAAAACTCGGCCCTCTCGGTGGTCGTAAACGCTGGCTGCACCGCGCTGCCTGCGCTGCTAAACATCAAGCAGGTAATGCAGTCGCGCCAGGTGCTTGGCATGTGGAATGGCTGCGACGAGCTGCCCATTGAGATCGATTTGCAGCCAGAGTTTCGGTTTCACTCTATCTTCGCCTGCCCGATTCTCAGGCAGCAAACAACTGAGGACAATCCACCGAAGAAGCTGACATGCGGCCATGTCATCTCGAACGACGCCCTGCACAAGCTGAGCAATGGGCACATCCTAAAGTGCCCCTACTGTCCCGTCGAACAGAATGCCGAGGAGGCCGTTCGTATTTACTTTTAAATGTAGACCCTAATAACAATTAATCATAATATCACATATACTATGTAATAAAATGTGAGCCTGCCTGTTGGTGCGCTTAAAGCAGTTCGAGCGTGGATCTGGAGCAGAAAGACGACAAAATAATTGGCTGACCGTGGGCGGATTAAGGTCTAGATTTTCGGCAGCTTTTCCTTAAATGTTATTTGCAATTGAGCGCGCATCTAGATTGTTTAGATAAATTTGCTAGGCCGAAGCGAACTACTTGAGCCGCAAGTCCATCAAAAAAAATATCCCATTAGTTCTTAATTACATGCATAATAAATAAACATTTGTCTCGAATACTTGTCTTTCACTATTTTCCATTTGCACATCGCTTGATTTCTACTCCAATGTCTGTCACTAGGCGCAGCCAAGAAAATTATTATATTGCGTCGCAAATTTCAGCCAAATCAAAAAAAAAAGGTATCTTTCGGTTGGGTTTTTGTTGTTGCTTTTAACCACTGTGCACTCAGGCGACAATTCGTGAGCAGCGTCCACTGTGCAGTCGGCCCGGCCGCTTCTGTCGAACCGGTTTCGGGTATTGTCGTGCCAGAGTCTCGAATTTTCATCGTGTCTGGCGTTTTGCCTGCAGTCAATTTTAGAGTTCGGTCGCAGACAGCTGATCTGTGGAAACGGTTAAGATAAACATATTAAAGTGGTCTGAATCTCTGTCTCTTTGCTGTTTAGTGGCAACGAACCCGAATTCGGCTCGCAGAACCGTCATTTAAGCTAATTCGAGTATACGATTCGTGATATATTGCGGCTAATAAAATGAAAAACGTTTTGGATGTCATGTCATTGCAGCAGCACGTGGAGACAAGCAAAGCACAAAACATGAAGCCCATTGATTATCGGTGAGTCAGTTGTGCAATTCGCGCTCCAATTTCCGACATACAACTCCATCCTTATCCTCGTATAAATATTCCAGCAAATCCACCAAACCAGGTCTCGTTCCGCTTTACATCTTCGAGTGTGCTGCCAAGCTGAAGATGAAGCCGCTGACAGCCGCATGCGCCGCCATTGTCTATCATCGCTTCTTCAAGGAGGTCAAGCCCAGCGACTACGACGAGTTCGTGAGTATCAGGTTGCCCCGCCATGGCGCACATACTCAAAATGTTTGTTTACAGCTGATAGCCGCCTCCTCGCTTTACTTGGCTGGGAAAATCAAAGATGACGACACGGTTAAAATCCGCGACGTCATCAACGTGGCATACAGCACACTGAACCGCGGTAGTGCTCCATTGGATCTGAACGATGAGTACTGGGCCATGCGCGACGCAATTGTCCAGGCCGAGCTGTTGATAACGCGTACCTTAAGCTTTGACCTGAACATTGAACTTGCGCACAAGGTAACACTTGCAATTCTTTGGCGCGCCAGTTAATCCATGCAATTTCTCTTTTTCCGCTTGCGCAGTATTTGCTTTACTACATGAAGACACTGCAGGATTGGGTGGGATCGGATGTGTGGAACTCTGTACCGATTGCCAAGACGGCCGCCTCGTACCTGCAGGACTTTCACCACAGTCCAAATATACTAAAGTACAAGCCCACGCACGTTGCCATTGGATGCCTGTCTCTGGCACTGCAAACGTATGGCGTGCAGGTGCCTCTGACCGACGAATCAGACGAGGCTTCGATGTGGTACAAGCCATTGGTCAAAGACTTTACCAGAGAGAATCAGTGGGAAATCATCGAGGATGTCATTGAAGTCTACAAGCACGAGGCGTCTCTTAAGGCCAACTGAACCAACCACGACCGCAACGCATCATTGTTATCAACAATTGGCAATTTTTGACCTACTCGCCATTCCTGCATGATTTTATTTATTCTCAGTCCAAACCAAAAATCATTTGTTCGAGACCTTTGGCTGCTCACTGAATTACTGAATATATAAACTTATTACAAGAAAATTCTGAACACATTAATGGCGATGTTTGTGCTTCTGCTTTTCCGACCGGTGGCGTCCTGGGGACACGCTGGTGCGTCGATTCGAACGTGAGCTGTAGGATGACGTTGCTGGCGACGGGGATTTGCGAGAGGTGCGACCTGAGCGCTCCGAGTGGCGCTTGGGCGAGTCCGACTGACTTCGTGACCGATTTCGCTTGGTAGACTTGCCACTGCGACTGCTCTCGCCACCGCTAAACGGCGAATGGGATCGCTTGCGACTGGCGCGTAAGCTGGGGCTGGAGCGGGAGCTGCTGCTGTAGTGAGCGCTAAGTGCATGCCTGGTGTCAGGACTCTCGCTGCGCTGTGAACTTCTCGATTTCGAGTGCATGTAGCTCAACGGTGAGTCTACAGAATCCGAAGGGGAATTCTGTGGGTGAAGCAGTTTAAATTAAGTAAGTTTGACTAACCTAAGGTTGTAGTAAGTGCTTGCACGATGACTTACCCGCTTGAGCAATCGTTTACGATAGTATGCCACTTGCTCGGAAAGTGTCCAGCCCGGTTCCAGGCGTCTCTTTCCGGACTCCAGTTCATCTTGATACTGCACGACTTTCACTTCAATTTCGCGCAGTTTTTGGCGACTCTCGTCGCTGAATTTTTGTGAGCTGTCGTCATCGCTATCATCATCCGAACTATAGAACTTTGGTGGATCTGGGGGATCCAACGTGTCCCACTTGCTTGTTGTTATGGCTTGGGCCTCAACCTGTTGTGGGTCAACCGTTTCCCATTTAGATGGAATAAAACCGGGCATTTTAGCCTGTGACTTGGAATCTGTTGGTCTTTGCACTTGCTCCATCGGCACACCATCCAAATCCTCATCCACTGAAAGTATTAATTACATATACAATCAACACTAACATATTTCTCAATACAAAGGCTTACAGGGCACGCCATCGATTTCGTCAAAATATTGTTCCCGCTTGGGTGTATCTCGTTGTTGCATGGCCACCGTTGACTCTGGTAGGACAAGCTTTAGAGCGCTCTTTAGCAGTGCAGCACCGTCGAGTGGCACACCATCCAAATCCTCGTCGTCTTTTTCCTCCCCAGAAAGTGGCGCACCGTCTATGTCCTCATCTAGAGCTTCCTCTGAGCGCGACTCATCTGCTTGGACCGGTGAGGTAGACTGCACTGCAAACTATTTACCCGCTATGAATATTATCTTGTCAACATATACATCGCTATACATACCTGTCGACCCAAGAATATAGCGTGCAATTGGGATAAGAAATCCTTTGGGTAAATTGTCCACTCCTCCCATGTGCGTATCACGTTACACACTCTAGTCTTGAAGCCCTCAGCTTTCAGTCGGCTCTCAATAGCCAAATAATAAGTGTGAAGGCTCTCAAATATGTCCACCAATTGCTTTTCCACGCTGTAAGCAAGCCAATCAGTGAAGGCTACAGATGAACTCACATAAACTTACGATTTACGAAAGAAAGATGCGTTTGACACCTTCACAGTGCAGTTGTGCAATATATCGGAGACAAGATATAGCCGCGCAATCTTCTTTGAAGCCAGCGTCTTTGGATTTGCCAACGACTCGGCAATGCACTCGCAAATCTCATCGGCGGCATCAGCATGCTCAATGCAAAATATCATTGCGTCACCGATGCGTGCGCGCTCTGGTGTCAAAGCCCGTATCAGGTCTTCCAGTCGATCACGTTGCCTGCCATTCAAGATACGATTTATAAATAAACAAGTTTGTGGATATAAACAAAATGATTTACGCGTTCGATAAGGCGCCTTTATGGACCACAGGTGCATCTGGGTCGACGACCAACTCATCAGGCATGCCTTGGGTGTAGAAATTAGCCACAGGAGGTTTCCAGACAGGCCCGTCCTTAAACATGCGAAACTGTTGCTCCCGCCACTCGCTCGGTGTGTCGCCCTGCAACAGCGAGAAGAGCTTCCAGCGGTAATATATATGCGCTGGACTTTCGTTGTCGAAGAGAAACGAAAAAATGGGATTTTCCATTTCGCGACTCATGATCAGCGCTTCGAACATAGGACCCTCTCGTATTACGAACTCGATCATGCGATGTATGATATTCAGAACAGATCTAAAATGCAGACATACATATGTGAACCAATCTAATTAAATGCATTCCAAGAAACCATACTTCTCCGTTGGTATAAAGACTTTTACAATGGATTTGCTCAGAACCTACAAATTAAACACATTAAATATATTAATGCTCTTGTGGATAAGATGGGTGACTCACTCTTTCCATATTCTCCTTGTCCTCAATAGAATCGTAATCCTTGTAGTTCTTCTTGGGCAATGTATTTGCCTCGCTAGGCGGCGGCTGAGCATTAAAAGGCAGACCCGAGGGAGGTGGCGGCAATGTTAGTTCTAACAGGGCTTGCGGTGCGAAAATTGGTGTATTCATGATGGGTACCGTTTTACCCCAGCCCAAACGCATTTCATAGCCCATTATATAGCGTCCGTTTAGAGTGCGTAGCGCCCGCTCGGCGTCCTTGCGGCTCATGTATGCTACAAAGCCACAATTTCGGCCACGTTGCTTCTCTTCCTCAGAACGTGGCCACATGATCTTGATGCTGGCTAGCGGACCATAGCGACCAAAGATTTCCATTAACTGCTGCTCGGAAATCTTGGGATTTAAATTGCCCAAATACAGGTTCGTTGTGTTCGGATCGCCAGTGTCAAATGAACCCCCAGCATCTCGAGCGTTGCTCGCCTGCTGTGAAGTGCTCGGAGCTTGTGGCTCTGGCTTTTGCTGCTGTGAAACTGGAGCACTCGCTACTGCCATATGCTTGTACTTGTGTCGCTCTTCACGTTCTTCTTGTATTCTATAAATATATGAAGGACACGTTACACACACAGGTGGTAATTTAATGAAATTGCCACTGTCTTACTGTCTCAATTCCTCCTTGAACAGCTCCAAGTTGCTCTTCTTTTTCTCCTGATTCTTCTTTTTCAGCGGTGTTGGATCTTTCTTAAGATCAGAGGCCAACAGCTTAGCATAGTCCTCCGCCTTCTCGGAGGCACTCTTATCAAGCTTGGAGCCCGGCTTGTACAGTTTGCCCTTTTCGCTTTTGTCCTCTCGCCTGGAGCCCGCATCGTATGTGCCAGCCTTCACCCACACTTTCGAAGAGGCTGTGGGCGTTTCTTGAAACGTCTCAACAAACTCTTTAAACGCCTGAACATAATAAATGCATAGTTATTACAAAACGAATCAAATATAATGCGTTATTAAACTCACATGTGCCGCCGCGGCCTCATCCTCCTTCTTCTTCTGCTCCTCTAATTCTTTTTTGGACTAAAACAATTGTTATTGTTTATTCTAAGGCATAATATTTATATTCTAAGAACTCACCAATTGCCGCTTGGAAAATGTGCCGACCGTAAAGGCCTCCAGCTTTTTTTCGCTAATGCGCTAAATAGATAAACGTATAATACTCGCTCGCAATTTGTTTATTTATCAGTTTTACCTTCATGCTGTTATGCTGTGTGCTTTTTAATTTTTAACATTTATGTTCTTATTTTTAGAAATACAATTTTCTTCTCGGAAATTTTATCGATATCGCCTGCAAACATATATCGATAACTCTGATATTGTTTGCATTTCATTCATGCGCATCATGCATAAGACGAAAGTCGACGTTGCATGAAACGACTTTTGATGTATTTCAAATCTTTTTTCTCAATAGAAAGTATCCACAATCCAAAGTATTCCAAATCTAAATTAACTTAAGTAATCAACACAATGTGCTTTAATTTCAATAAATATTAGAAAACAAAGGAACCCCATCAATAGGAACTCAAAACTTAGTATACCAACTGAGCTTATATGATAATATTATATCATTATAATAATATAATAGAATAGTTAATTCGCTATATATATAAATAAAGTTTTCTGCATATTAGCAATTATTTAAATTTAATTCAAATACTCTTATAGCAACAAACGAATAACTGAGAGTATCGATATCGTCGTTATCACACATTTGATGACAATATCGTAAATTCTGATGTGAAATATCGATATATTGATATGAAGTCAACATCCCTAATCACAATTAAGTTAATAATTTTTGTACAACAAAATAGACTGTGGTCGCTAACTGCCAGTCCACGCAGACAGATCTCATTTGCTGGGCAAGGCGTTAAGAGCCTTTGAATAAGCTGCTAAAATGGAACCACAAATTTGTCGGCTATGCTTGCGTGGTTGTGGCTCCCAGATGTGTCTTCAAATCTTTAGCAGCGATGCAGGTGCAGAAGGTAACGTGCCAAATGTTGCGGAAGTTCTGCGCCAGCATTTTTGGTTTGAGGTGAGCCAAGTGATAAACGCACACATTGACATTTATTCACATACTCGATCATTCTTCTTGCAGGTATTACCGAACGATGCAATATCGAAAGTTGTGTGCAATGTGTGCTGGACGCAGGTGTCTGAGTTTCATCAGTTCTACGTGTCCATACAAGAGGCTCAGGTGATTTATGCCAATGCGCCGAAGTTCAAACAGGATCCTGATCCGGATATGATGAGCTCGTCGTGGCCAGAGGAGGTAATGATGCCGGCCGAAGAGCTCACAGTGGATGGCGGCACAAATAACGATTATACCAGCACACAACTTAGCGTAAATCCCTTAGATGAACTAGACCTGGAAATGTCAACATATGCGCATGTTAATCCCGAAAGCAAACTAGACATTAAACTAGAGAGACTCACGCCAGACGAGTTCGTCAACCAATTGGACGATGTTGATATTATCGTTACACGAAGCGGGCGCAAGCGGAAACGTGACACCGAAACGAGTGATAAGTTGAGGACAGTCAAAGTGAAAAAGGTCGGACAAGCCAAAGGGCATGAGAAGCGGAAATCCACGACAAAAAGGACATTCAGGAAACAGCAATGGCCCCCATTTTGTAAACAGGACGAGGACTTAATAAAACGTTATATTGTAATGGGCTGTGAACTGTGCATTTTCCTGGCAGATGATTTCGACGGCATTCGAGATCATTTTAAGGACAAACACCCAAACGAGCGCCCCTACGTCAAATGTTGCGGTCGCAAGTTGAATAAACGCTGCCTAATTGTCGAGCATGCAAGGCGTCACGAGAATCCGGAATACATCAAGTAAATTGATGCATATCAAATGTACCAACATATTTATATGTCCTACTTATATGTTTGGTTTTCAGATGCAACGACTGCGGAAAGGTGTTTGCCAATTCGAGCGTATTACGCGCGCATTGGCTGGTGCACCATGTGCCTGACGAGGAATGTGATTTCCAGTGCGAAGAGTGCGGCAAGCGTTTCTCCCGGCGCAATCTCCTGGAATTGCACAAGGGTTCGCATGTGCCAGCCAGCGAGCGGAAGTTCGTCTGTCCAGAGTGTCCCAAACATAATGCGTGCGTAACCGGCTATATTACTAAAGAAAAGCTCCAAATAAAACACACATCTATTTCCAGATTTGCCACCGAGTACCACATGCAGGTTCACATAAGTATGCAGCACCGCAAGGCAGCCAACGTGTGCCATGTGTGCGGAAAAGAAATCAAGGATAAGGCTGTCTTCGAGAAGCACGTCCGGCTGCATTTTGAAGAAAGCGGGCCGCGCATCAAATGCCCTCGACCAGACTGCGAGAGCTGGCTCAAAGATGAGGATAATTTGAAACAGCATTTAAGGCGCCATAACGACGAGGGTAAATCGTTCATTTGCTCAGAATGTGGCAAGAGCTGTAAGAACTCGCGCGCCCTCATAGGACACAAGCGCTATTCGCACTCGAATACGATATACACATGCGAACAGTGCGGTAAAACTTTCAAAAAGGATATTAGCCTTAAGGTTTTATATTTCAATTACCTGCGTATATATGCATATATTAATAATATCTACATTTCAGGAGCACATGGCTCAGCATACTGGCGAACCGCTTTATAAATGCCCCTTTTGCCCGCGGACCTTTAACTCAAATGCTAATATGCACTCCCACAAAAAGCGTATGCATCCAAATGAGTGGGATCACTGGCGTAAAACAAAAACGGGTAGCTCCCAAAAGGTGCTACCCAGTGCCCAGGTGTCGCAAATGTTCAGAGAAGATTCTGAAACGTTCGCGATTCCGAATATTTCAAATGTATTTTAATGCACCTAGTTACCTTCCCCTACCTAATGTATATATATTTTCCCTAAGTGTAGAAATATATGTACGTATGTATAATTGTTTACAAAACCAATGAATATAATTGAGATTCGAGATTCCTTGTGAAACTAAATAATGGAATACAAATACAATACAAGGGGAAGCCCAGAGAGCAAAAGCACTGAAATATTTTACATAAATTCTTTCTACAAATTATGGACATTCTACATAAAATACATTGTGCTACGATAATTATGGAACGCATCCTCTATAGTCTAATAAATGAATTTATTTATTTTTGTTTTTATTTGAAATTCAAAAATATCGATTCGATTTGTGCACATATCGATAGGTCCACTTGTGACGTAGGCGCTGCGCAAATTAATATTCGAACTATCGTGCACAACCTCATAGCGCTTGTAACTCTTAAAACAAACAGCTACGTCAACAACGTTAAAATGAATGTAAGTTTTATTAATTACATCGCAAAATTGCTAATTGCTTAAATATTGGGCGCTACAATTATATAACTTTTACATGTTTCTTTTGACTCACCTGTTCATGTTTAAAATCAGGAATCGGAGATACCAATTGACATCCATACGCTAAAGCTTCAGGATTGGCTTATAAGCAGACGTATTGTTCCAAAGAATGTTCAGGCTCCGATCAAGGATATCCATTCAAAAATCAGCAACGCTCTACATGATATGCCCGCCAATGATCAATTAATTAAATTGTTATCTGGTTCCAGTAGGTTTCCAGATTGGTATACAAGTTTCCTTCGCAACTAATCGTCGTAACTTTATTGCAGATATAAACTATCTGCATGTTAAGGAGATAATCGAAATACTTAAGCAAACGGAAAAGGACACGAAGAGCGTCTTTGGCACCTATGGCAGTCAGCGCATGAAAGACTGGCAGGAAGTCTGCCGCCTGTACGAGAAGAATGCCACATACCTCGCGGAGACGGCGCAAATATTCGTGCGCAATGTGAACTATGAAATTCCCGGAGTGCGGAAGCAAATGATCAAACTGGAACAGCAAACGGATGATTGCTTAAAGCGAGCCCACGACCTGCACAAACCAGAGGCACAGCTTCTGTCCGAGCACGCCGCCTTGTTGGAGCAGCTGGGCGTTAAAGGTGATAACCTACATGCTGAATTCATAGAAGTGCTGGCAGGTCTGCCAGACCTGTACGCAAAGTCCTTGCGAAACATTGGAAGAGTGCAAGCTGGTATTGATTTATACGCTGAATTTAGCGGACAGCAGCAATGTTTGCCTATTCTGCGCCATTTAGTGGAGCACGGAAACACAACAGTTTATCAGTACATCCACAAAGAAGCCCCTCTTGCTATTGAGGAGCCGGAGGTGCGGCTTAACTTTAGCGGCTCCAGCACGAGTAAAGAAAACGATGGCAATGAAATAGACTTTGGCACGGATGACAACGGCGGCACATCCTCGACAGTCTCCGCAGAGATTATTGACTACGGAGACTTTCAGGAAACGGATGGCGGCAACATAGACTGGGGCATTGAAAGCGCGCCCACAGATGCGGTTGAGATTAATTTTGATATACCCGTCGAAGAGTACGGCATTGTAGTCGAGGGCACTGGCATGGACGGTGGAACTGCCAAAGGTCTGCATTCAGAATAATGTGTTGTTCCCTTTTTTAAAATATGGATTGCATCTTTCAGGTGATCAGGCCTATACGCTACTAGATTCGCCCAATTATCGCGAGCGTTTTCTGGACGAAATACACGAGTTGGAGGCATTTTTGCAAATGCGTCTCTATGAGCTCAATCATTTGGAGTCGTCCAATAATATCATGTTCTCACTGATGGACAACATTTCTACGCATGACAGCGAGAGTATTGGCAAAATATTGGCCGACGTTGTGAAGATCATTCAGCAGACCTCCGATGAGCAGACGAGTCATCTTTTCCAACTTAAACATTCGCCAAAGTACGCCGACCTGCTGACCAGCAAGCTGCAGCAGATGACAAAGGCTGTGGACAAGCTGCGCACAACACGGGAGGTGCTGAAAAAGCGTGCCGTGGAATTACGGGAGGAGCGTCAAAAATTGAATCCCGTTTTAGATGAGCTGATTGAGCAAACCCGGACCCTGCAAGCATTTATTGAAAAGGATATTTCAAAACGTTACAAGAATCGCGTTGTAAATCTTATCGGCGGCGTAAACTAGATAAATATATCTAAATTTTTATTCAAATAGATACGTTTGGGAATGTATGAAAAGTGCAAATAAATTGTTGAAATTTCAATATGGACTTTCTATATATAACGCTAGCAAGTAAAGTTGAATTATTTTAAAATCAGGTATCCTTTTATTTTCCTCCATGAAGTTTGATTAGCTTGACTTTTGTACAAATTTCCATTAGACTTACAAAATGGTATTGCTAGTCTAAGATTTTGTGATCGATTGGAATAACATTGTTCAAAAGTATTTTTTTAAAAGAATTTTATTTATTTTTATTTTGCTATTTTTATTAAATATACAAATTTTATTTATATTTTTTGTGTGTGTTTTAATTTGTTTTTATTTATTTTTTTGTTGTTTGTTTTGTTTTTTGTTTGTTTCTTATTTTTGTATCCAGAATACAAATCTAATTTAATGTAGTTGTTGGTTGCTTTTTTGTTCATAAAAGTAGCCTTACACTTGTATCGTTTTAAACTTTCACTTATGTAATGTTTCTTAGCTGAATTGAATACACAATTTGTAAACAAGAACAACGCTATAATTAATATGATTAACTTAGGGGGGCGGGGGGGTCTGAAAAAATATTAAGGAAATACATACATACCAATAAACATGTTTTAGTTGCGTTTGGAAGCGAAGGAAGTAAGGAGATTTGGATGTGTGCTTACAATTTATACAAACAAAGTTGTATTCAATAGTTTGCGCCCAAAAGATTTGAACAAATACATTTGCATATGCAACTATTGACGGGGAGATAGAGGGGCATACAGCATATAGTAGTATGCACTTTTAATTTAATTATATAATTACACAAGTTTTGGGTGTAAAAAGCCACAAAATGGATATACATTTAGACTTAGGCACTAATCTAACAAAAATGTGGGCTCAATCGCATTTTAGGTCATGTTAATCAAATTTATGCATATGTTTCTGCATGCAATAAATGTATGTATGTATATAATCATTGATTGTTCAACTAAATAGAAAATAACAAGCACTATCGAAATTAAAATTATTATTTATATATAATATATAATTATTTGACGGCAAAGGGCCTCGTGATATGGTAAGAACAACTCTCACGTTGTCCGGTTCGCGATCTTGCCTCCTATGGTGTGATGCCAGGCCCCAAGCGTTAATTCAATCAAATAAATCTACAATCTGTTTTATCGTGTTTTTTTTTAAGGGTCTGTCTGTTGCGACTCATATGGGATACGTATGCTTTGATTATACATATATCAACGTACGTATTTGTGTTAAGCATAAAATATTTTGCAAAATTTGTTCGAAAGTTTGTTGTTGCTGTGGTCTGCCGTTATTGTTGATACATGCTTACAGGCTACATCATGTTACAACATTTACGTAATTATGTTTAGTGTTTATTACTCTTTGTTTGTTGTTGTTTTCCTTACTCGCTACTATGTATAGATGTCTGTAGTCATGTTCATGTTCATATTTTTGCCATTGCATTTGATTTTGTGTCTGTCTGTCTGTATTATTATAATTATAATTCAGTTTATTGTATACAATACACGTGCCTCATAGGGTCGGTCGGATTAGATATACTGAGCATCGCAGCTCCAATCTTCAAGTTATTGCTCTATATTCCATAACATGCCAGTGTTAATGTTTGTTATTGTTAACCTTATCTAGTTAGAATCATCTTTGTTATCTACACAAGTGCTACGAATCGCTCCCGATCCGGATCTCGCACACTTTAACGTACAGACTTAAACAAATGTTTATTGTTAATGTTTTTCAATGAAAAACATCGCCTCTCTTGGCGCCTAAAGTTGCTGCTGGTGCTGGCCACCAGCGCGTTAGATTATGATTATGATTATGATTATGCGCGTAGTGGTGGTGCTGGTGGTGCCCTGGGACACCACCCAGCGCCGGCTACTTTGGTTGTCAATCGTTCTTCACTGGATAGTAGATTAGATCTGGCTGCTGCTGCTGCATATGATGCATATAGTCGTTGATTGGCGGCAGCACTGACTTCGTATCATCGCCCAGCATCGGATAGCCCACACCTACGCCGACACCCACGGGCGGCGCCGTGCGCTCATAGACGCTGCCGTGCGGCGGCGGCGGAGGCAACAGGTGCGTGGCGCCCGCCAGCGAGTGCAGCGGCTGCTGCAGGCCGTGCGCATGCGCGTGGGCATGGTATGGCTGAAAGCTGTTATGCTTCTGCTGCTCGCTGACCAGCTGCTCGCTCAGCGCGCTGTGATTGTAATGTTGCTCGTAAACATTGCCGGCGCCCGCATGCCGCATTAGACCACTGCCATAGGCGCCGCCGGCGTTGTGATGTTGCTGTGCCGCCTGCTGCTGTTGCTGCGGCTGTTGTGATTGTTGCTGCTGCTGCTGTTGCTGCTGTTGGGGCGGCGGCTGTGGCATTAGATCAAAGTTGTACTCCAGAGGCGTGGGATTCGTGTCGATGAGATTCGTGAGAATGCTGCCAATGTTGTTATAGTTGTGAGCATCTCCCGGTCCGACTTGGTTCGCCTGTGGCTGTGCCGTAGGGGGCTGCTGCTGCTGCTGTGGCTGTTGTTGTTGCTGTTGCTGCTGCTGCTGAGGCTGCACCTGTTGTGGCCACATGTGCTGGAAGCCCAATAGTTCGCCAGTCAACGCTGGGTCTTGTGGCTGCTGCTGCTGTTGCTGCTGTGGTGGTGGTTGCTGCTGCTGTTGCTGTGCCTTGTTGACACCGACAGCTGCTTGCTGTTGCTGCTGCTGAGTGGACGGCGCTGGGGCACCGACGTTCATTGGAAGCCCGAGAAACTCGGTTGAGTCGACAATGTAGAACTTGTTGTCCTTGAGCTCGACTGGCTGGTTGTTTGGTGCCCCGCCAAAGCCCATGTTGCCCCAGGAGTCAGTTGCCTGTTGCTGCTGCTGCTGCTGCATAAATTGCTGCTGCGTTGCGGACGCAGCGGCTGACGGCGACGGCTGCGGCTGCGGCGATTGCAATCGCGAGTGCTGATGCTGGGGCGAATGGGTGTGACGATGCTGTTGTAGAATTAACTGATGCTGGTGATGCATTGGGGGCATGTGGTGCGGCGAGGTGAAATGTTGCTGCTGTTGCATCTGCTGCGCCTGATGCGGATGGGGATGCGGATGTGGGCTCTGGGGCGTGTGGCTGCGCATATGTTGTTGTTGCTGCTGCTGTGGCGGTTGCGGCTGCTGCGCTTGCTGTTGTTGATATTGACTTATCATCTGGTGCTGCTGATAGCCGCCCGCCGTATTGCCAGTGGGCTCAAAGTGGAACTGGCTCTCCTGGCCACCAAAACTGTTCATCCGTTGCATATGCAGCTCTGGCGTGCTATTATTGGGCGTATGGGGTGTATGGGGTGTATGGGGCGTATGGCGATGGTGCGGCTGCGGTTGCTGCTGAGGCGGTGGCACCGCTTGCTGCTGCGTTGGCGGCGGCGTCGCTGCAGCATGCTGTTGCTGTTGTTGTTGCTGATGCTGATGTAGCGCATTTTGCTGTTGCTGCTGCTGTTGCGTCGGCGGCGGCTGTTGTTGCTGCTGCTGCTGTTGTAGCTTGTCTGCACTAAAGCTCTGATTGTACATGGAATTCTGCTGAGATTCGCTCGTGGAGACCGAGTGCTGCGACGTTGACGCCGTTGAGGACTGCGAGCTATTGCTGCTTACAATGGCGGCATTGAATTGCTCCTGCTGTGAACAGCCCGGCGTTGTAGACAATGGCGGCGGCGGTGTGGGCGTTGCCCCCACGCTAGCTCCCTTGCCTGCGCCCTGCTGCATCTGTTGCTGTTGTGCCGCGGCTGCAGCTGCCGCTCCTGCCTGTGACTTTGCCTTGCTGACTGCGGACTTTTTGCTAGCTTTAACCGGCGGTGGTCCTGGCATATCAGGCAGTGGCGCCATTTCTGAGAGAAAGAAAGCGGTTAAGTAAATTGTCAACAGTCACCGGATAAGCATGCACTTACCTTCATCATTCGATTTGGGAAAACGCTGTTTACCCTTTTTAGGAGGCGGCGGCTGATTCCCATGCATTGTTTGCTTGTGGCGGACCAAATGTGTTTTCCATTTGAAGGTCTACAGAGATGAAAAGCTGAGTTTAATGCACACATAATAATATGAGTAAATAAACATACCTGATCGCAGTGGTTGCAGCAGTGCGGCCGTTCCTCCGAGTGTGATGGCAAATGGCGCTGCAACGATTTGGCGGAGCCAAAGCGCTTTCCGCAAAGCGTGCACTTGCACTCGGATACATCGACGTGGGCGTTGCTGTAGTGCTCCTTGAGCGCAGGATATGTAAAGTACGAGGAGCCGCACAGGTCGCACACGTAGGTGCGCTTGACCTCAGTGTGCAGCTGCACGTGCCGCTCCAGATTGGCCTTGAGAGTGAAGCGATTATGGCAAATGTGGCACTCAAAGAAGTTGTCTCGCTTGTGCACGCGAATAATGTGCTGATATAGGGCGTTCTTTGAGGGAAACTCGGCGCCGCACACCTCGCAGATGGCGCCGTCGGCCTTGTGACCTGTCTCCTCGAAGTGCTGCTGCATCTTCTTCTGCGACAGTTTCAGGCCGCACTCACCGCACGGAAAGACTGCAAACAACAATTGAACAACGATATTAATTAAAAGCTTCGCTTTAACGATAGATATACAAGATAAAATGCCTCGACCAGGCTTTACTGGGCACCGGCGGCTTTGGTGAAATTTACATTCACGTCGACTCACTTTTGAAATCCTTCTTGTGCGACTCGACGTGCGCGTGGAACTGCTGCCGACGCGAGTAGGATTCGCCGCAGGTCTCGCATACAAACGGAAACTCCTTCACGTGCATCGTGCGATTGTGCTGAATTATTTCCTGCAATAACATTATCATCAATAAGTACTTTATCTGTTTTAATAATAATGTAAAGGAAGTCTCGTAAAAGTCTTTTGTCTATTGTCTTGACCGACCTCCTTCATGAAGGGGTGCACAACTCTTATTGAAGAAACTCTGCTCTGAGTCCTCTATCCCAAATAATGGCTAGCCTATAACATGGCCTATCAACACAGGTATTCCTACTAACTATCCACCAATATACGACATACAGAAGGATTA